TATATATATATATATATATATATATATATATATATATATATATACATCGAAACATAAAAATGTTGACTAATCTCGCTAACATTGAACTTGGGAAAATGTATATATATAACACATATTTCATTACATAGAAATATAGTTTACATCACATGGTCCCACTAGTACAAGGATTATTATATGTACAAAATCTACATATGAAAAATTCCAAAACAAAATCTTGTACTATCATATGTGATACAACATGTATCATCCAAAATAAGGAATCTTATGCAGATCTTCAAAAGCAGATATCAAATTAGGAAAATAATCACATTTTCCCTTTCTCCTTACTATCCCTGGACCACACAGTTCCTGCATTGCATATTTTAAAGACAGAAAATGAGGATTAGACCAGAAGCGTCTAGTGAGTAAATCCCTTCATTGCAAATGCAGGGTGATAAACACCAAATTATTAATAAATATTTTTGCTAAGAAAATAATGCATTTCAAGCAACAATGCAGTCCTCAATAGAATGAATAATAGGATAGACTCTATAACATCAACTCTTGATATAAAATACATCTTGTTTAAAGATCCAATATTTCCAAGATGAAATTAACATTGCGGCCACAGTCTCTTTGATTCATCAGATTAAAAGACCAGAATTTCTCTGTAAATATTAATGGAAAGATTTAAGGCAATACTTGCCCTTTATGACAAACCATTTTCCCTTTCTCAATAACATCTAAATTATAATTTCTAATAGGAATAATATCTCTAATTCATCAGATCATAAAGAAATGATGGTTCAAAGTTATTAAATCCAATTAACAATAATAACAAGAGTTATAATAATATTCACATATGACAATGTCTCCCTTATTCCAATTACACCACTCCTTGATATGCCATCCTTGTTACTCCATCCAAAACAGGGTTACTTATCAGAACAGACAAAAGTTACCTCGTCTGAAAGTACCCATTCCCAGTTCCAAGCCAGAACAGACAAATGTCACCACGTCTGGGGGAACTACCTCTTAAAACAAGTTTCATACCAAAACAGACATACGTCACCACGCTTGGTAGAAACAGTTTCCAAAAATCCAATTCCATACCAAAACAGACATACGTCATCATGCTTGGTAGAAATGTTTTCCCAAAATATGGTTCCATACCATAACAGACTTATGTCACCACGCTTGGTAGGAACATATCTTTTATTTAAAAGATATAAAATACCCTTTTTTTTATAATAACATAATTTAAATCCAATAATAATTTATCTAATCATGAGAATTCCAAGAAAGCCCAACACTTGAAATTTTCATCAAACTAACGTCCGGATAAGTTATCCGGACAAGTAATCCGGTCAACTATCCGGTCAACAATCCGTTGTCCGATTATCAACCTGTTCAATATACTTGTCCGATTTATCACTAGTCCGCACGACCCTTGAGCGATTTAAGGCTAAACCGCACAAAGCTTGGTCGTATTCACACTTCTCCGTTCAAAAACCTTTATCCTGTTTACATAATTCAAATCTCGCTAACTCCCTAAATCGCACGATACTATGAACGGTTTTAAGACTAAGTCGGACATCTCGTGTCCGGTTTAGAGACAATCCGGACAATACTATGTCCGGTTTAAACTTAATCCGGTCACCCCTTTTATCCGGATAAACCCAAATCACAGATTTCTTTTTTTATAGATAAAACACTATATACATACATTAAAAATCAGTAATAAATTTGTATGAAAGAAGTTTTGGAAATCACTCGCCCCTTTTTATGCAAATTTTTAGATTTGAGATGAAGAATGTAAGACCAAATGCTTCTCCGGACAACTTCTCAAAAGCTCTTAACTTCCCAAATAAGGCAAGAAACTTTGCCTGAAAACTTAATCCTTATAGAAAGTCAGCTATTACCCACATGCATGCATACATACAACACTATCCAAGTATGCATATCATTTCTTACATACACACACTTCACATGCATATTTATATCATGCACACACATATATATATAACATATATATATATATAACATATATATATATATATCTACATATTATGTATATATCCCTTATGCATAAAAATACACATACTCACATATTTAACCCATGTAAGCATGTATCCACATAAACAATTAATTCACATAATAAATACATTGGGTAATAACCAAGACCCGATTATCACAATATGACACTTGTTTTATAAAAGACTTTTCCAAATAATGTCCTATAAACAGTCTAACAAGAAGTGTTCTAAAAAAACTTTTTAAGACGTCGAAAATCGTCATATAAACTTGTTACAATATCTTTATATAAGGTTTTGGTACTATACACTTCAGTCTTCAAACATTTTTTTATGTTTTATAAACCCGATCTTGTTTGTAATGTCTGACGAAGAGTTTCTAGATCATCATATTCTTGTAGTTCTCTTTTTTATTGTGTCAAACATCATTTTATTAGTTCTTTTAATAGATTTTTGACTAATATATTCACATTCAATTTACCAAAATGTGATATTACTATAAATCATACATAATATAGTTTTACATAAGTTCTTAATCTATATATATATTAAAGAAGAAACCACTATGTATGATGTGGCCTCTTCTAAAAGCTAGGAGCTTACACTACAAAAATGCTGGGTATCAGCGAGGGAAAWTTCCCTCGCTGATCCGTCGCTGAAAGTGGTTTCCGTCGTTGATCCGTCGCTGATACTCCGTCGGTCAAAATGTCGTAGGTAATGCTATCAGCGACGGAT